GTTGTTGCATCTAGTTGGAGAAGCAAATCAGCAGCGGATTGTTATCAGGACTCAGCTACCTAAACTTCTTCCGAGATTATTTTCCTAGTTCACCTTTTTTTTTCATTTTTCATTTCTAAGAACATAATGTAGACTGGGATCTGGGCCTCTGGAATTAACAGAGGCCCAAGTTCTGTAATGGCGTTTTGTTTTCGACCAATCTGACACAGTGAAGCTTTCTCCACTTTTGATTTGAAGTTCTTCGCCTCTTTTTTTTGGGGCGGGGTGGGGACGGTGGGGCTGAGGAGGGTGGGGTTTTCCAAGGCTTCTCTGTCTCTGGTTTTCTCCTGAGAACGTTGCTAAACTCTATTAGATTTTTTTGTCTTGTGCTTGGAATAGGATAATAGTTCAATAGATATATTTTTTTTATAAATAATTTTTATTAAAAATATAAATTTTGATTTTGATTTAATTAATTAATTAATTAAAATTATTCATATATCGATAATATTAAAATATATGTTAATTTTTATAATTTTTAATAAAAATTAATTAAAAAAATATATTTATTAGACCTTCAACTTAATTTTATTTATTTATTGGCTTTATTTAACTTGTATTTTTTAAGAGATATTAAATGTATTTATAATTAATTTATATAAAATATTATAAAAGTTAATATTTATTTTAAAATTATTAATACATATATAATTTTAATTAATTAACTTAAATTCAAAATTTATTTTTTTATGAAAATAAATGATAAAAGGTGTATTAATTATAACCTAAACCCTGTTATAATTTAGAAAAACCCTTATTTATTTGTTTGTCTTCTGGATTCAAGTCTTGAGATTGCAATGGGAGGGGACGAAGAGCAGCTAACAGAGCAGGAGACTGCTCTCTATGATCGCCAGATTAGGGTTTGGGGTGCTGATGCTCAACGAAGGTATTATTTTCGCTTCATTTTCTTACGTGTTCTCTGAAGTTCTTTTTCCAATATCTACATTTTTATGAAGTTTTGGGGTTAATGTTTTAGGCTGAGCAAATCTCATTTTTTGGTTCATGGGATGAAAGGAATTGTTGCTGAGGTCACAACTTTTCCTGGTTGCATCCTTTTTTTAAAAAGCTTTCAGATTTCAAATTCGTTTTTCACTGAAATTGATACAATTTTGTGGGTATGGGTAGTTTTGCAAGAACATTGTGCTTGCAGGAGTTGGAAGTGTCACGTTGGTGGATGATAGGATGGTGACTGAAGAAGCATTGTCAGCTAATTTCTTGATACCACCTGAAGAAAATGCAGGCCGTGGGAAAACTCTTGCGGAGCTTTGTTGTGATTCCTTGAAAGAATTCAACCCCATGGTTCTTGTTTCAGTAGAAAAAGGTTTGCCTCTTTTTCTTGACAATTTTTTACCATGTTGGTTGTGTTTGTAACATGCCTAGCTGATTATCATAACGCAAAAGTAGTGGTGAAGATTATGAATTTGTACTCATTTTATGCCTGTTAGTGTTATAGATTTGAAGTTGAATACAATTCATTTTCCTTGTTCCCACTCAAACTGACCAATTCTTCTTGTTCTTTGCGATCAACATGAAGTCCTGGGTTAAAATCAGGGCATTTCCCTATCCAGTACCATGTTTCGAATGCCAATGTAGAAGAAGTGGAACTTGTTCAATGAGATTATATTATTTTCTTGTGTTACAGGTGATGTATCAACATTTGGTGGAGAGTTCTTTGAAAAATTTGATGCTATAATCCTCAGTTCTTGCTCTCTTGTGAAAAAGGTACTGGATAATATCATCGTTAATGGATCATTATTCCAGTTAAAATACACTTTTATTTAAAGAATTCACCTACTCTCTGTTTTTCCCTCTAAATATTTCTTGAAATGCTGCTCTCATCTCAGAAATTGATTAATCAGAAATGCCGGAAGTTATCAAAGCGCATAGCATTTTATACAGTTGATTGTAGAGACTCCACTGGTGAAATCTTTGTTGATCTACAGAACTATAAATACTCAAAGGTTACCTTATTACCTGTCAAAGTTAATTGTTCTCAGTAGTTTTTGCATTCCATATCTTGGGCCTGTATATGCATTATCTATTATGTCTGATATATGCTGTCCACCAAGTTGTGAGACTGTTGGGATTTTTCGGGAAGGTGTGGATAGAGGACTAGGAGAAGGAGAGACACCAGGAGTTCCCTCTTTTGGTGAGGGGAAAACTCATTTTCTTCATTCATCTTCTGCCATTATATAGCAGAAATCTCATAATACATCAACAGTAATTTCTACGTAATACACTTCTACCTAACACATTGACTAAAATGTAGAAGTTTGCTGCCAATTTGTGCAGCTCCACGTTGCTGTGCTTTGCTGCTTCTGTGCTGTTGGTGCAGCTCCCCCTTTTTTTCATTTGCTGCCACTGTTGCAACTTTGACACCACAACTCCAACAGAGACATTGCTAAATGATACCAAACCCTGTATGCCAAGTTGCGAGACATTGCTAAATGAAATTTTCTATTTTTGTGCTTGTTTTAGCCTTGCTGGTATCTATTTATTGGCAGATTGTTTTGTTGGATGTTGCCAGATTTGTTATATAGAATTATCAGCCACATCACAAAAATTTCCACCAAACTATTTTTGAAGCTAAATGTGTGATTGGATCTGCAGGTTCTCAGAATTTCCTAATAATTTTATCATAGCTTTAAACTTTTATATATCTTGCATTCTTGAAAGCAGCAGTAAGCTGTTCTTCTGTGTTGTTTTCTATCTTTACAGAAAAACATTGAAGAAACAGTTGACTGCCAACTAGAGTACCCGAGCTTTGAGGTTTGTCTTGGTTTGGTTCTATTTCAAACAATTTTGGTTCATCTTGTGGCTATTAGTGGGAATGAAATGGAGGATGAGGGTAGAATAGAGTAGGAACAAGTTTATGGATATTACCTAGTTTTTTTGTGAATAAGTGGAAATAACATTTTCATAGCTAAACATAGGGACAACAATTGCATTTACAGGCTTCCCGCTAGTAAAAGATATTTTGCTGGACTTATAGATGACTTTATTCTACAGTACCATGTTCAATTTTATTCCCATACAACTACTCACAGAAGAAAATATGATCGTGAAGAATAATTTCTTTTCCCACATATATAAACATGAACACAATACTCATGTAATCAACCTTCGAGTAATCAACCTTTGCATATCCTTTCATTCCTCAATTCACATGATATTAATATGTAATAATGGTTTTCCCAATTCATGAGTATTTTTTTTACCTGTTGCAGGAAGCAATTTCAGTACCCTGGACAGCACTTCAAAGGAAAGTGTCAAAGCTATATTTTGCCATGAGAGGTGTGTTAAATATCACAATTATTGTCTTTTAAGTAATTAAAACGTGGGAAAAAGGTGAAATAAGTGATTTTAGTTAGTGGATTAGAAGCGTTGAGATTCTGATTGCCTCCATTGGTGCATCTTTTTTTATTTGGCCATGTCCTGGGTGCATCTAGATTGCTCTTCTGCAACTGCAGATGTACCTTATGCCAAATTTCTATTTTGAGTTGGGAAGTAGTTTATTTTCAAATCACATATTCCTTCCCAAACTCAGATGATGTGATTTTGGTTTTTTGTTATACTATTTAAACATCTATTGAAGATTTACCTTTTTACTTGGTGAGAGCTAGTGGATTATTTATCTTTTTACAGTAATAGAGCGTTTTGAAGAGATTGAAGATCGCAATCCTGGAGACATCTCAATTACTGATCTTCATGGTCTTCTAAATCTGAAAAAGGAACTTTGTGAGGCAAATGTATGGTACTTGGGAATATATTCTGGATTGTAGGATGGTGATATTTTTTCTGCTTATTGATGCTACACTGATTGCATATTTTCACATTGCAGTCATTAAAGGAATCTCTTGTTCCTGATGCACTCCTAGAAAGATTGGTAAAGCATAAATGGGAGTTCCCTCCAGTTTGTGCCATTATCGGAGGATTCCTTGGACAGGTGCTCATTTCTGTCTATTTTTTCTGTTTTGCTTCTTCAATTGAAGATTTTCTATATTCAATTTGATTTAGTTGACTACTGAACTGTTCAGGAGGTGATCAAAGCAATATCAGGCAAAGGGGATCCACTAAAGAATTTCTTTTACTTTGATGCCTTGAACGGAAAAGGCTTGATAGAGGACATATCAAATGCTAACCCTAAAAACTGAGCATCTTTGTCTTGCCGTTACCAAATTGCTTTGTCAGAAACTACACTTGCTGATGTAGGTTTTATAGGATTGACCAGCCATCATCAGTTTGAATCATTAATTCTGTATTGTCACTGGCCTGAAACAAAAATGTTATCAATAAATCCCAGAAATTGTGTTTGAGTGAGATTAACATGGAACTTTCCAAAGAGCATTTGGAGTCCGATGCTAATTAGGCTTTCTCTAAAAGGAGTTTTCCTTCCATATTTGTGCCTCCAATTAGAATTCTACAATAATTGTACTTTCCAAATCCCAATCGGTCATGAATTACAACACTGCTCTCTAGTCTCTGTGTATGTGCATTTGAATCCCATTGCTTCATTCAGTTTTGAGATCCCCCATCTTCCTTAAGCTAAATAATGAGTGAGAAATTAGTTAGCGTGAAACATAGCTTCGATTTCTCGTGAAGATGGTCATGGAGACATTAGTAAGAGTTCGAAGGTTAGTGATAGCATGGATGCGTATCCATCGGGTTTCCAGATGCCTCTCCATTATCTTCGTTGCACCAAGGGCGACTACGAGAGGATAGAGGGTTGGAAGGTGGACTTACTCCTCAGACAATACGTTCTGAATTTCAAGGGTACCCTTGATGAGAAGAGAGCTTTTGCAATGGGAGCATTCCTCTGGCCTGATTAGTATTTAATTAATTCACTTCGGACCTCGGAATTTGGATGGATATCATGCGGCGAATCATGCAAATTAACCCTCAAACTTGTCAAGTGGTATTAAATAAGTCCCTCAACCCAAAACAGACACATCTCCCACCTTATACTTTAGGAAGGCGTTAAATAAGTCCTTACTGTCATTAGCAAAAACTCAATTAATTTTGGGGGTTAGGCCGGACAAAGAAGAGGGAACTTTTGAAACCCTAATTTTTTTTTTTTTTTAATTTAAATAGATTTGGGGACAAACACCATGAGAATTAGATATTTTGTGACCTTGTAGATGATGAAATCTCAAGATTTGCTCCTGCAGAACTAATAGGCAGTGTTTTCTTGAGATAATTAGGCGAATCTCAAGGTTTTATTCTTGGCTAACTTGTAAGTTTCACTTTTTCTTTTTCTTTTTCATTTTTTTATTTGCATCAATGAAAGTGTGAAAGTCATGGCTTTTCTACTATAAATATCATGTTTTGATGCCCCACTTGTCTTTATAATATTTTAAAAGTTAGTCTTTACTTGTGTCTGCATGTCTTCTTTACAGCAATGGTCACTTCTATTGGTGTTTTGACTATTTTTCATGGGGAAACCTTTGAGTGGGGCCCACCTATTGACTATGTTAACAATGCAAGGTCAATCTTTGATGTGCATGAGGACAAAATCAATCTGGAAGAAACTATAAAGCTTGTGCATGCTTTAGGTTACCAAGACATTGGGACTAAAAGCATTATTTCAAGTCTCCACTTGCTAAATTTGAAAGATTGCAATCAATTTTACATGCTAATTATGTTATTGAGACTAGTAAAATTATTACTGCAAGTGGTGAAGTGGAAGTTTACATTGATCATAATGACATGGGACCAAATAGTGTAGAAAAATTACTTGGTGATGCTCATGGGGTTGGTGAGGTTTATAATGGGAGTATTAATGGTGTCGACATAGGAAACATCACCCAGGATATTTTTGAAAATCTTGATCAGGGAGAAAAAACTGTTACTGCAGATGAATACTCCAGGGATTTTGAAGAGGAACACTCTAATGATGAAGAAGGAGATGAGTCAGATGTTGATGAGGAGTATATGGCAAGTCCTGTTGGTAGTGATAGGGAAGATGAGGAGTATGTCACTGTATGTAATGAGTTAAATTGTTGCAAATGAGAACAACTATAGTGAATGGTGATGAGAAAAGTTGTGAGAAGGAACCTGTTAACGATCAAAATGGATTCAAGGAGCAAGGGGAAATTCAAAATCTAACCTCAATGCAAGCTATTGCAGAAAAGGAAAAATTGAGAAAGGAAACGGTAGCAACAACTAGTAGGAGGTATAAGACACTTAATATTGCCAACATTCCTATAAGGGGTGAAGCAAGCTCTTCTTTCACTAATTATGTGTTAAAATTGCAAATCCTTGTTGATAATAATCAATATGCAAATTTAGATGCAAGTGATGAAGATGAAACAAAAGGACAAGGCCAAAATAGTGATGGTCCAAGTTGGTTATACTTGGATACATCATCTGAAGAGGAAGATGTCTTTTATGTGTCATGTGATGTTGTACCTATGATTTTGATGATTACAAAACACATTTGAGTGACTAATTGATTTATTTAAGTTTTTAGTTAAATTGCCAATATACAGCAAAGTAAGCAAAATGAGATTGCATTAAAAAGGGCTCAAAAAATATGCAAAGAGCTGGCTTAAGAAAATTGCAGCCGGCTCTGGAAAGCAAAAATGCAGAGAGCCGGCTGTAGATTTTTTTGACCCGACTCTACAAGCCAGAAATTCAACTGCTGTTTTGGCGGGCATGGAAAATGGAAGCAAAGCCGACTCCAACTTTGTAGCCGGCTGTGAGGGTGCATTTAATGCACAACAGTTGAGTTATTTGAAGATTATTTAATATGTTTAAAGTTGGAATCCTAAAGCCGGCTTTAGGCTTTGCAGCCGGCTGTGGAAGAAAACAGAATGTGTAGGAATCCCGCCAAGCCTGGTGCAAAAATGGTGAGCCAGCTATACAGAGCCGGCTCTCCTGACAATCTTGCAACTCGAGCTTTGTGTCTTACAAAGCATTAAATGACCCCCAACGGCTAGTAACAACTATTTTCGACCATGGGGTTATAAATATGGTTGGTAGAAGATCGGAAGGAAGTTCAGAGAGTATTGTATTGAATATCTTTACCTACCTACATGAGCTTTAACTTGAGTTTTTTATCTTTGAGAGATCTTTACATGTAATCCTCTTCTTGTTCTATTTGTGAGTGATCTTGGGGGTGTGATTATTCCTTCAAGAGTAACCTATTGAGAGGATTCATTGGGTTTACATTGTAAAGGGGTGAGGTTTGAGAGAAATACTTATCTTCTTGTAAAACGATTGAGTGGCTCCTTTAAGCCACCCTTGTTGTTGTTAGTGGAGAGTGTGGAGGAAATCCTTGGTGACTGAAGCCAAGGTAAAGGATTAGGCTCCAAGTGGTTGGACCGAACCTCTATAAATCATTGAGCAAGCTCTTCTTCTCTACTCTCTTTAATTTTGGTTTTGTGGTTGCAAA